ACACAAGAGCTGCAGTAATACCTTAGTCAACGCCTATTGAAGTTGACATTACAGGTCCAACACTTCTAACGACTGCATTTTATTGAACTTGAAATAAAATTAAAATAAACAAGGTAAGTACTGAACACGAATTGCATTCTTATCACATGAACTGGTATCAAAGACGTTATAACAGTACAAAGTATATGGTAAGATAAATGACATGATCAGCTGTAAGTAAAGTAGGCGCTGTCTGGCTGTAATCCTGTCACTTGCCATTACAGGAGTGTTAGTTGTTACTTATCGGGAGCTGTCTTTTTGGGACGTCGGGGTCTAATGAAGGCCATCTTGAAGTGCAGTATTATTCAATTCAATTTCAATTGTTTATTCCTTGATAGAGGAAGCGGGATCCTAGTGCTGTCACTAGGTACCCCTGTACAAGCAGTATTATTACAGGAGGAAAGTGTTGTTCTCTGGTAAAACATGAGGAGGTCGATGGTGTCACACTGGATAACATCCTCCTCACAGCCACCCCAAGCGGGTATAAGTCGTGTCAGTACTGAGAGGCAAATTTATAAAGACAAGCTAGTAATTACCTAAAGATTGTAAGGCAGGTTAATAAATACAGTAAAAGATTGTAAAAGGTGAAGACATTGTAGCAGTAAGTCTTCCAATCTGTGATATAACACATTGATTGGTATTAAAAATGGTGTTTACTGTATTAACAGTTTCAGGTCACCTAAATTAGCTGTTCTAGAGGCTTTTATTGTATTAGTTCCTTTTAATTATTGAGAATAGGCATTTTCACCTTGTGAATTTCAATGGTCTTTTGTTTTTCCTTATTTTATTTAGGAATTATGTGTTCACTTTTAGTTGTGTATTACCGGCAAATTTGCACTTCCACCTCCACGTCTGTTAGAAAGTAAAAAATATATTTTTCTAGTGTATTTGTGTTGGGTTAGACCGAATATGACCTTCATTTCCGTCGGAAATTGACCGTTTTTTTACCGATTTTTTTTTTTCGTGGGACGTTTTTCGAAAAAAAAATAATGGCTAAGCGAATAAAAAATACACAAAACACACTTGAAAAACCAAACCAAACTAAACCTATGGTAAGAAATAGGTGATTCCATCATATGGTGAGAGTCAGTTAGGTTAGGATTTTGTTTTTCTAGTGTGTTTTGTGTATTTTTTATTCGCTTAGCCATTAATTTTTTACGAAAAACGTCCCACGAAAATTTTTTTGAAAAAAAAACGGTCAATCTCCGAAGGAAATGAAGGTCATATTCGGTTTAAACAAACACAAATACACTAGAAAAATATATTTTTGACTTTCTAACATGGGGAGGTGGAAGTGCAAATTTACCGCATTACCTTCTAAGTAGTATGAATAACGTGTCAGAAATTGAAATTTAATATATTACATGTAGTATAAAGATTGTAACCTAACTTGGTTGAACAGTGAGAGCTGTCATTGTGGCATCATGCTTCTACAATCACCCTTTCATTTACTCACCAAATTCACCCGAAGACAAGTAGACTCATTGCCACCAGGTACAATCTCTCAACAAATTGCCTGATTGTATAATTTCTCCTCAATTACTTTCATGTAATAGTACAGGTATCCCTCGCTTAACGAATTGGTTAGTTCCTGGAAAACCATTCATTAAGTGAATTTTCATATCAAATAGCAGAACAAATAGCAAACAATAGGATTTGGTTCCCCAGCAATAAGAAAACTCGGTTAATATTTAGAATTTGCCAACCGTTACTTATATATTGTTTTATATAGGGGTGAAAGGGGAAAAAATCAATATTCTATGGCGTTTCTGTTGGAAATTTATATTTATCAAGTATTTTAACCGAAAAAATTACCCACAATATTAGTTGTTCAACGTAGCCAGGGCCTTGAAGTAGAGGGAAAATGTGGGGGTAAACTTATGAATTTATGGGTCTCCACATCATTAATTAAATGCACGACAGTTAGCGCACGGATCGTGGGAGGAGGAGGAGGAGGAGGAGGAGGAGGGATCAGCGTTGGGGATCTCAGCTGCTCCAGTCTCCCATGTCCCACGTGTAGTGAAATTATTGTGAAGGGTTAGTGGAGATACTCTACTAACCCCTTGTGTATGGGTTCCCCTCTGTACTGAATAAAATTGTCTGGTTAGCCAAATAAAATATTAAAATTGGCATCCCCATTGTGAATAGGTTACCCACAAAGTTTTAAACACCCCTTTCCATCGTTGGGGGTCATTGTGTTAGCAACCATAGTTTTAAAGATCTTTAGTTGCGAAGAACACCACTCTACAGTACTGTATAGTGTTCGACAGGAGGTGTGGCGGTAAAACAAACTACAGAACTGATAATGGAATCGGTAATGTATGAAATATGTTACTGTAACAATTTTTAAAAATAAAATTTGCATAGAAGAAATATGAGTGCATTAAACATACTGTACATAAGCTCAGTGTGTTGTTTGATTTCATCTTGTGAACATTGTCAACACAGGTGTGCAGATCCTAGCAAATTCCAACTTGCACTATCTGACCACTTGGTCAGTAGAGGACATTGATCCTAATACAGGTACTGGATCTTACTGGCTGAACCTGCTAATTATACCAGGCAAAAAGATTCTTTTATTGGGAATATCCATTATTGATAGGGTTTATTGTATTATGTATATGCTTTTATTATTATTATTATTTGTATTACAGTACAGAATTATTATTATGGGTAATACTATTAATATTGTTTCAATTAAAAAAGTAACGGTATTATTGCGTTTACACACCGTTTATTCCTACCACGAATCTATTATCATATTTGAATAAGACGTCTAATTATAAGTTAATTTTCATCAATTACATTACCGGCGGAAATGTATAATAACTTGCCTAGCTTATACTACAGACGGGCAAGGGGGGACCTAGTTGAGGTGTATAAGCATCTCAGGGGGCACTACTCAGTTGAGTGTCCTTACTTGGAGCTGGCGGATGCTCGCCCCACAAGGGGTCACAGCTCAAGATTGAAGAAGCCGCAAGTCCAAAAAGCTGTGAGGGCAAACTTTTTCGGAGTGAGGGTTGTAAACTCTTGGAACAATCTACCAGAGAGTGTTGTGACTGCACCGAGTGTGAGCTCTTTCAAGACAAGACTTGACCAACACTGGAGCGGGTTCAGGTACATTCAGGAGCTGGTGCATGCCCAGTATTTGCCAACAGTGCGTGACAAAAATGTGACCGATCGCCCGGGCGGCTAGCGAGCCGATCTTTTGGTGAAGAAGATAAATGAAAAGGAAAAGTAATTAGAGACGTGACTGATCGCCCAAGCGGCTAACAAGCTGGTCAGTGGCGAAGAGGATAAAAGTAAAAAAAAAAAAAAAATCCTATTTTCTTCCATTAACCTCCAGCCATCATCGTCTGCCTCTCGCCCAACACTGCGTGTCTCTCGTGTCTCCTTCATAAATCGTCACGCGCATGCGTTTCCATACACGCTACGCGGCCAATCAAAAGCGTTTTTGCTTTTGGAACTAATTAAAATGATTTGGGGATTAATTCAGAGTATATTTGGCCCAATCAAAATCGAGTTTTATTTTGGGTCATATTTTGAAATTCAAGTTCAGTTCCGACCATTGAAGTCTGCGATGTATGTCACTTAAAGTATATGGAGCTGGTTGCGAGTTTTGGGGAAAAAAACGTAGAAACTACAGCATTTTTTCGATCGCATGGTGTTCTTCCAACCTCAGTAAAGTGTACTAAGAGCAAGCCTGAATGTAAATATCGCAAAGACCAACATATGTGGCGTTGTGTAAGAATCCCAGAATGCAACGACGAACAAGAACCAGGCCAATAAGGTAAGAAATAGGTGATTCCATCATATGGTGAGAGTCAGTTAGGTTAGGTCAGGTTTTTGTTTTTCTTGTTTTTTTTGTCGCTAACCCACTTTTTTTCGGAAAACTTCAAATGAAAAAAATCGCAAAAAAACCCCCCGGCTAATTTTCGCCAAAAATGAAGGTCATATTTGGTCTAAACACACACAAATACACTGGAAAAAAATATTTTTTACTTGCTAAAAGTGAACGGTGTGACAATGCAAATTTACCAAAGTAACCATAGAAGAATGTGATGGTAGGAATGTTGCTAAGAGGAAGTGCTATAGTAAGCCACACTGGTCTTGACAATTGACCGCATGCCAAGTCTTCTTGGAGTAATCTGTTGGCTACTACAAAAAGTATTGGCACATCTTATAATAACATGAAACTTTTAATGAATGGTTTAATTGAAGAAATCATAAAAACAATGGAGTACTGTACTTTTTATTTAGGTACAGAACTTCTGTGTCAGTGAGACCCTTTTGTAGTATTTCTACTTCCATCCTATTGCCCTGGTGAAGTACCTTTAGATTGAGATTTGTTTTCAGAACAATACGTATTACCATTAGTACACAGCGTTAAACTTCTACTGATATTATAATAGTGGCACTTAGGCCAAATGTATTTGTTGTTGCTTAATCTTTACCGGAGATGCTATAGTTAGGCTTGGCACCTAAATACACAGTTGCCAGTGTACTTGTTTATCAACTTAAGATTTATAATTTGTTAAAATTTTCATATGATTTGAGTACCTAAGGGATTTTATTTAGGTATCATCAGTGTTTTATGTATACAGTATATATTTTATTTAGGTTGTGTAACAGTTTATAAAGGAAGTCTAAACAGTATTGAAGAGTAGTGGCGCATTGCCAGGAGGGAAGACCTACATGCTCTCACAGGTTGTGACCTATGCCATTGCTCACTGAGACAACAGTTGTACCATGTTAACTTAAAGAGGGAGTTAAGCACATTATCTTGCAGTTTTTGTTACATTGATAGCAGATAAACTGCAAATGTACAAGATTTTAAAAAATGTCTTTAACGGTTTAAGGTATGTGACGTTGGTCTCATCCTTTCCTGCATTGAAGTGTTCTTGGCAAGGCTCTAAGGCTGACTTTCACAAGGTCGCTTGGTGTCCTCTGCAGCATTTGGGTGACTTTATTCTCCTCAGTAGAGGGCAGTGCAAGGGGTGTGAGAGTTGTCTGTCCTGTGGTCTCTACTCACTTTGTGCTCATACCTGGACTTCGTGCTCTTTATTGAGGATAGGAATTGGCGGCTTTTCCTTCAAGATGGATCAGGTTAGTTAATACAATCCATGTTTGTGTTAAGGTCTTGTAGCTAATCTTCCAAATATTTGCTGAACTACTCAAAATACTGATGATTTTATCTCCTTGGCTTAGAAGGGGTCTTAAACATGTTATTCATTTGTTAGTCAATCTATCTGTCCGAGGTCATGTTTCAAATGCATCTTCTTTGAAAGTACTTAACCTTTGGGCTGAAAATCTTGTACTGTAGTGGCAGTATGTACTCATTAACAGTAAACCATTATGTGCACACTGTTGAGGTCTATTTATTGTGTATTATTGCGAGTTTAATTTCTAAAAATTCAAAATGCTTTCAAGGGGGATTTTCTTCATTTAATAGTAATGACTTCTTAACCAAGTATTCTGTACTGTACAGTATTACAAGTTTCTTTCGGCCCTTTTCCTTGATCAACCCAACAGTAATTTGGAACCTGAATGTTAACATATTACATATATTTCTTGGGTAATGGTCAGTTAATGCAACTGGTAATTTGTCTGGTCTTCATGGGTTATTCCTTGACACTGGCTAATACAGGGTCGTAACTCAGGATATACTGCACTTTAGTTATAATGCTGATGACAGCCTCTACTGTACATTAGGGGTGGGCAAAAATATGGCCCATGGCCCACATCTGACCCTCCAAGTGATTTTAACCAGCCTGCCAAAGTGTCTAGGAATTTTAGAAAAAGTACAGGTTTAAACTTTCCAATTCCAGAAATAAATAATTTTATGTCCTAAACTGGATTGGGAATTGGGCAGTCATAGCAGCACCTCAGTGTACTTAATATGATCGCCAAAACCTGAGACATGCCATAGTCCGCGTTGTGAAGGAGTTAAGAGTAAACATGCAGGGAAATATTGGAACTTTTCAGGTGAAACAAAAAGGCTGATGAAATGATTACTGTACAGGTACTGTATTCAAATGTAGATAATTATTTTCACGAAACAAGGTGTATCCCAGGATTATATAATCAGTCATTTACATGATGGCACACAAAATTACCAAGAGCAGTAAACAATTCTCTGAAGGGAGTTTGTAAAGGAATGCACGATTGAGACTGCCCCTATTTTATGTTCAGACAAGAAGAACCAGTTCAAGAAAATTAGTTTGTCAAGGTTAACTATCGTGAGATGTGTCGAAGATATCAGTAAGAACCTGTACAGTATCTGTGTCTAAGATATAAAGGACTGCATTCGTGTGTGATTTCACTAGTATTCACTGTGAGATGTGATGTCAGACACAACCCAGTCAATCATCATTACTGTGTTCAAGGTACAGTGTATCCAAGAATTTTGAGCTCACAGAAGAACTGACATCATTGAAATCAATGAAAGATGCAGCAACTGGAGAAGATTTATTGGAAGCAGTAAATAATGAAGGTTGACCACCGATGGAATTCAAAATCTGATGGGTAAAAATGTTGGGTTGGCAAAAAAAAAGTCAAAGAAACAAAAACTGAACAGAATAATGTTTTTCTACACAGCATCATCCACCATGAAGTCCTCTGTAAATTATCTAAACCTATTGAATGTTGTGGACACGTGCAAAAGTGATCAACTACCGTACATTACATTTGAGAAGGAGGATTTAAACCAGTCATTTTGTAACCCTGCTTAATGAATTTGAAACTTGGGTGTTCTTTACAGTACAGTTTTACATGAAGATAGTATGGCTCAGTTTGGCAAAGGTCCTGAAAAGAGTGTGGGAACAGAGATTGATTTGTTTTTGGACACCAAACAAAAAAGTTTTGGATATCCCTTAGCTGAATGATGTGACTTGGCTTTCTGATTTTGCATTTTCTATTCACATCCTGGGCCACATGAATACAGTAAATTGAATTCAGAACTTTGAGGAACAGGATCTTTAGTTCAAGAGTTATACCTGTACAGTACAGTATTACAATTACAATATCAGGGCATTTATGATAAAGTAACTTTTTTTTATCCCATCAGGAAGGAAAGAAGCAATTACTGGTACCTGTAGCCCATTTTGTAACCATTTAGCAGATTGCAGTTCTGTTGTGACAAACTTCCCCCAAAATTATTCTTTATTTTACATGACTTTCAGTATCGTACCAGATTTACTCACCAATTTCAAACTGATTGAAAATTACATATCCTTGGTTACCACTTCCTCTTCATTTGATATTGATGAAGCCAGAGTTGATTTTCACTTAAGCTTATTGACCTGCAATGTGATCCATTGCTAAAGGAGCAATTAAAATCTGTGCTGCTTTCCAATTTTCATGCTTTTCTTGATAACTGTGCATTTTCAAAATTAAAGGCACATGCCCTTAATGGGTTAGGTGAAGGAGGGACTGATTGATTTAAAGAATGGTGAGTTTTAAGTTGTGGAGGGAAGAGTGTTGAACTTGTATGATAAAAGGAGAATTGGATATACTGTACAGTACTGTATCTGGTCGAGGGAGATGTTAGATTTATGCGGTGGAGGGAGGGTGGGTGGGTGAGTGAGTGAGCTTGGAAAGAGGATGGATGGATGAGTGAGTGAGGTTGGAGGGAGGAAGGGTGAGTGAATGAGTTAAAGTAAATATAAAATTAGTCATGTGTAAACTAAAGCTGAAAATTATATTGATAAGATAAAATAATAAGATATCAGACTTAATACCAGTGAGACTAATAGTTAATATCAGTGAGACAAGTAGTTAATATCAATGTGAGACTAATAGTTGACCAGTGTGAGACTAATAGTTGCTGTAATATCAGTGTGACTAATAGTTAATATCTGTGTGAGACATAGTTAATACCAGTGAGACTAATAGTTATGGTAATGTCAGAGACTAATAATTAATAGCAGTGTGAAATTAGTGAGACTAATAGTTAATATCAGTGTGAAACTAGAGGGCTTGGAGGAGTTTGAGGTGTAGTGTTAGTGACATTCCTGAGGTGGGTCATATTGATTACTGTGCTGTGTTGGTAGACTGTGGGTGTGAGAAGATACTTTTAGCGTGTAGTGGAATTTCCTTCTTTATTCTTCATATATTTATGAAGAAGTTCTGTACAGTTAAATGTTTTTATGGCTGGTACAGGATTTCAGGTAGGAGTGATTCTGAGAAACCGCCTCATACTTTCACTTGGTGATATCTAGTGATCATCAAACCAGCTGACTGTGTTGACAACCAGTTTTGTGTCAGCCATACCATCTGATGCAGGTGGATATGGAACTAAATATGTGGAGTGGCTGAATTGTGAGCCAGGAGTTGTCAGTTGGCTAAGAAAGCTTCTTTAATCCATCATGCTATCCATATTTCTTCAGCTTTAGAGAGAAAATCATAAACTTCCTCAAGGTGCTTCTCCTCACATCATTGTTCTCATGGTCTGTTGAATATGCTTGTTCCTGTCTGTTATGGATCTGCAGAGTGATTAGTCACATGAGAAACATTGTAACTGATTTAAATTGTCCACCCATGTACCTTAGTCCTGAACTCTGTACAAGGATGATGGTTAGATTAAGATTTGTCCCATGAGGGGTCTGTAGTTTATTGGGCATCCGCTTGCGTCCTGTGTAAGCCAAAGCATTTACAGCGCCCAACAGGGAAGCATGCAGAGTTCGAGCTTGCCTTCAAAATTGTTGCTAGAGGCATTGTAAGATTATAAAAGCAAGCTCCTCTTACCCATAAAAAAATCACATGTTTTGTAATTTGTTTTTACAAATGATGAATTTGCCTGATGTGAATCCTGTCTTTTGGTTATTGCTGAACAGTATAGAATTTTTGTGATGTCGCCCTTATGCAGACATAAACAACTCACAAATGTATTTCCTGCCCCTCAATTTGCTAATAAATTTTGGTGGTGGTCTTTAAGATTTTGTAATTGTGACTGGTTCAGTTTTAAATTTCATGTCTTCTGAAGATTGTTCCTGTTGCAAGTATACTATCTGTAGTTACCAATACCCAATGGGCAGGATTTAATTAAAAGGCCCAGATTCTTGGCCTGATTGTATTTACCATGGTCTATTGGTACTAGACTTTCGGTAATTAGTGATGAGCTTGTTGAAGAACGAACAGGGTATCAAGAATCAGATATTGATACAGAGCTCTGTCTTTATCCAGAACAAATTCTTTGTAGTGTTCATGTGTCAGACTTAGGAGTTGGCCAGGGAGAAGTTAACACTTTGTATATGGGTATTCCCCTTTGAGCTGAATAAAATAGTGTGGCTTTAGCCAAATAAAATATTAAAATTGGTATCCTCATAGTGAAGGGGTGAAGTAATATTAGAGGAGTGGCAGCTAATAAAGAAGCCAACTCTTGAATTAGACATGATTGATTTTTCTTAAATTATTTTGAGATGCAATAGAAGATGATGCATTTCCCTGCTGTGTGGCTTTATGAAGTATAAGGTAATTTATTGGCTACTTTCTCATTTTAGATGCTTTACAGATATTTCTTGAACTTGTGATCACATCTTCCCCTTTTCCAAGAATTTGTTTTAAGTTCAGTACACAGGTCTGTTGTGATGTATTGTAATATGAAATCCTACGTACCGTAATGGTGAAGGAGACCAGTGAAAAACATGAGTTGTCAATGTCCTAAATGACAGTTGTTTGGGGGTTGGTTCATCATCTCCCTACATGGTCAGAGTGAGATTCACTTGAATGAATTGCTGAGTTGAGAGTGATCTACTTATCTCCACTGATCCCTGAAACCACCAGATTAATGTGGATTAGAATTTGACTGTTGAGCACTGCATGCCATCCAGGCCATGGCATGCTATGTCACGTGGTGCATCTGTTTGTCTCCTAGACCATAAAGCTGGATTTTTTTTACCCCATTTCTCTGTTTAGGGTAAGACAGGAATATAGAAATGACCCAAACCCAGGTTTCTTCCCCTTGATCTGCTGCTCAGCTGTACTGGTGCTATGAAGGTGAATATTGAGTTTATGAACTTTCTATGGCTGAAGATTCACAAATCTTTACTCGGACTCCATTAGTCATCCTCTCCCTACTACACCAAGAGGTTTGATTGTTAACATGAACTACTTTCAATTTGTGTAATGGTCAGCAGGCACCATTTAGTGAAGCTATGGGTCACTGTGTCTCGGCGCCACATCATGACCCCTCTCCATCTTTAGAAGAGAATTTTACAACCATCACTCCTCTCCCCTTTCGAGTGAGAACATGTTTTGTGTGTGCTTTTGTTGTTTGCTGGCTAACTGCATACAGTATACAGCACTTAAATAAGTCAAATTGGTGGCAGTAAGCATATGAATGATTACTAAAGATTTGTTTATGGTGCATCGAGTCTTGCCTGTTATATTTGGTTTATTAACCCTCTCAGTGCTGGATGTTTTCTCAAAGCTAAATGAAATCGTCTTGACTGTTGCCAGAATAAAATCCTAAGTGTGGAAAGCACTGAATGGGTTAAACAACTGAAGTGCTATAGGGTTTTCATGATTATCAGCAGCTAGGATCCTATGTCTCCAGGCTACAGCAAGAGGGTAACAAGGAACATATTACGGTAATAAAAACTAAGGTGAACCAACTACAGTATAATGAACCTTTGAACTAACTGATGAGCATGGAATTTGAGGTGATTTCATGAAGGTGGGGAAGGAATAGAAACTACAGTAATAGAAGTGTTTAGGAGGATAGAAATACAGAAGATGTGAGGGTTTTAGTGAGACAAAGGTACAGTGAAGTTCTGCTTAACAAGAGCCAATAAATGATAATTTAACTGAACAATCTGTGTTTAAGGGTATACAAATTCAATTTATACATACAGTCCTTTTATTGTTTGTTCTTTTAAAGAAAATGAACTGACCTCATTTTAATTAAATTTTCTACTCATGTTGTCTGAGAGGAAATAACCAAATTGGTATTAGTGTATTGTTTAATTAAACTTCATTCATCCTGTACCAATGGTGTGCATCTTAACGTACACCAGTACACACATTATAGTACTGTACAGTACCTGTAACTTGCAAACATATATGTGTTTACAGTAATTCCAGCTTGGTTTTTAGCTACAATATTAAAGCATGCCCAAACAAAATAATTATCACAATAAAAATGATAAGTACAAGAATAGTACAGTATATAAATAAAGTAATTAAACAAAAAACTGTATTTGGTAGGAAGTGGTAGTGTTAGCTAGTGTGAGAGAATGTCATTGCCACAATTTTGTGAGTTTTCCATCAACAGCCACAAAAAGAAGTGAATCTAAATGAAATATATTACCAAATTTTGATGTGCAGAATACCTAAGCAAAATTAACTGTAAAATTAGTTTAAATGTATGAGGCTGGTAATGGTGTTAGTGGTTGGTGATAATCATGCTTTATCAGGGAGGGAGAGCTTATCAAGTGCACTTGTAGACTTTTTCTAAACCAACGATGCTAGACCAACCACAATCAGCATAGATATTCTACTCCGACAACTACCAATACAGACTGTGCTGATATTCTTCTGTTATTATGCATACACACAAGACTTTCATTTCTACACTTCATTGAGTAGGGGAAAACTTTTCCCCAAAATAGATGAACATGTTCTGGATTTCCTGGACAAAGTTTCTTCACAACTTCAGACTTTCCACTTTAGTTCAGTTCTGTACAGTACAGGTACCTAAATTTACCCCAGCCACCATTCACCTCATAAGCACGTCATATTGACTTGGTAAACTTTGCTGTTTCATGATTTACTTGCAGTACCCCTTACAATCATGAGTGCAAAGTGAGCTACAGGTGACAAGAGTGCCTTATGATGAAAGACCCTTGGGGAAATAGAAGTATTGTACAGTAATTGAAATGAACTTGGAAAACATTTTGAAGAAGCACATATTCACATGCTGATCAGTGTTACCAAAAGATTGTCAAAAGCATGCAGCCACTCTCCACACTGAGACATCAACCACAAGCAGCTAATCTCTACTGGTATGCAACCCCCCAAAAAATTATAAGAATAATATGAAGTACCGTAGTACAGTATATAAAAATATATACCAAGCACTACTACTACTTTGCTGTCACCCAGAATTGAGTAAGACGATCATCCAGCTATGATAAAATGGTACGAGTTATTAGGGATGTCACCTTTGTTGGCGAGTTCTGTGGTGACTAAAGAGGCCAATACGGGACCAATAGGGTCGTTCACAGATGTTGCACATGTGGGGGCTAAATCTAGTGCGGGAGGGGAGGTGGCACCGTCTTTCCGGTGTTGGCTCTTGTCTGCCTCGTTTTGCAATTGGGCTAACTTGAAGGTATTGACACCTTTTTGTATGGTACTCATCCAAGCGTTAGGGTGTGGAGTAATAGTCTCCCAGGTGAGGGAGTTGACTTGGCACTTTTTCAGGTTTGTCTTAAGACTATCCTTATACCTTTTCAGTTGCCTGCCAGCGTTACGTTTACTATTCGTTAGGTTACTGTAAAATAGCTGCTTTGGCAGTCTACTGTCGTCCGTGCGGGTAACCTGGCCATTCCAGCGTAGTTGTTCATGGATAATGGTAGCTTCGATGCTCCTACAGTTGGTATCAGCAAGAATATGGTACTGGCATTTGTTCTCGTCTTCCCAGCGAACTTGGAGGATGGAGCGTAGACTATGTTGGTGAAAGTTTTCAAGTGCCTTGAGGTGCCTCCTGTATGTGACCCATGTCTCGCTGCCATTTAGCAGGGTGGGGAGGACCACTGCTTGATATACGTGTAACTTTGTAGATAATTTCAGCTCCCTACAACTGAAGACACGGTTGTGGAGTCTGCCAAAGGCTTGAGATGCATGTCTGATCCAATGTTGAATCTCTTCATCGATGTCTGTGGTGGCGGACAGGTGGGAGAGTTGGTGCCAGTACACTCCCTTGTTTAACCGTTTGGATGGACACTGCCGTTCATGCTATCATGGATTTGCCTCACAATGGCGATGAATTTTGGTGGGCAGCCAAAACGGCCGAGGGTCCACCAGAGGGCTTCTCTGTTGACCGAGTTGAAGGCCTTGGCTAGGTCGATGAAAGCCATATACAGGTTACGACGCTGTTCTCTGCACTTTTCCTGTATCTGGCGGGCAGGAAAGATTGTCAGTGGTGCCAAGTGATGGTCTAAAGCCACATTGAGATTCTGGGAGGAAGTTTTCCGCCTTAGGAAGAAGTCTGTTTAGGACTCGGGCGATAATCTTGCCACCTACGGACAGCAGCGAGATCCCGGTGTAATTGGCACAGTCTGACCGGTCTCCCTTGTTCTTGTAAATATTGACGATGGAGGTGTCTTTAAGAGCTTTTCTCACCTTTCCACTGATTATTATAATTAAACCTGTACTCAGTCACTATGTAACTAGAACTGAGGCATTTTCAGACCACATAGGTAGTTGTGAACAGTACTATAGTATGAAAAAGTACATGGTGGTAAACATTCAATTTAACACATTACTGTACATATATTAATTTAAGAACTGCACAGTCACGCTGTGAATATATCTTATGGTTGTGATCGATCCATGACGACAGGTGGATTTGATGGGTGGGAGGGAAACACAGGAAAGAATTAAGTTTCTTTATTTCTCTAATGTTTTGGGCTTCACAGAACCCATCTTTAGAGAGAATATATCAAGTGGAGGAAGTCGGAGATTTATACTCGTATACCACTGGTGCATCTTGCCTCTCAGGATGCCTTGTCATGTTGCAGACTGATTGACTGCCATTTACTGACCCCATACTGTCTACCTTACTGGGTGGCATCAATGCTAGGTCTGTGGCATTCACTGACCAGCACCTAAGATCTTCCCTGTTGTTTGTTACTTCATTTCCACAAATATATGCTGCTTCTATGGCCTTTCTTATCCCCTTATGTATAATCATGGCATCCTACCAATTTGGCTATTGTTCTCCAAATTAATTGTTTAAAATATTCAGTCTACCATGAGCCTATAATCAAAGATGATTTCATCCACTACCTTTTGGCCCACAGTGAAACAACGAAATCAATAGTAGTGATAAAATTTTTCTTAAGGGCATGTAGGATATGCAGTAAGGAATTCTTAGAGAAGGAAGCATAATGTATTGTCTAATGGTAGACCCTGCTGCCATATGGCATCACGAAAATTGTAACCAAGTCCCAGGCTACTGATCTGAGTTTCTGCCTCATTTACACACAATTGCACAACATACAAATATTGTTTCCCACTCTTGATTTTTTTTCATTTTTTTTTCTTTATTATTATTATTATTATTATTATTATTATTACTATTATTATTACTATTATTATTATTATTACTATTATTATTATTATTATTATTATTATTATTATTATTATTATTATTATCGCCCCCTAGGCCCCAATGTAGGTCAGTGAACTGTGCGCTGGTGGGCTAATCCTCGTAAAAAAAATACAAAAATAGAAAATAAATATAATTGGCTCATTCAAGAAAGTGTGTTACCCTCAGGGACTGCTGATAAAACTTAGGAATAAAGCCTTCTGCATACTAAGAAGGAAAAGGGAGAATAATGTAAATATCATTGATAAAAGTGAGAGGTACATGTATGTATCTGTTTCAAACTCAGATAAGGCTTCACTGCAAGGTGAGTGTCTTGAGTTGTATATAAGGTCACATCCTCATCTTCTGTAATTTACTCTGAAGACGACCCTGTGTGGTAGAAACATCAGACTAATAAACAGCTCCTGCTGTCTCCTTGGTTTCTTTCCACCCCCTATATTTTCATTAGACTGAAATGTTTTGGGAGAAGTCCATGTGGCCTCCCCTTAGTGGAATATCTAATGGGAATAAGATATCTATCTAAACAAATTTTGCTTTTAGGCACAATTTCTCTTCTGTGTTATAAGTGTTTTTATGAAACTACTGTAGTTAATTACACAAATTGCCAAGGAGCCTAATCATTCCTTATTTACATTGCAGATGTCGAAGGTACCACCAATGCAGCTTGATGCAGCCAATGCCAATACACAGGTTGACCACATGTGTGCCCTGGACATTGACTCTCGCCCCTTCTCCCAGCGGCTCTCCAGCATTATTTGTACCATTGGTATGGTATTTTCTATACTTGATGGCATTTGTTAACAAACGAAAATACTGTACCTATATGATATGTAAGATTTGTGTAGTTTCATTAAGCTAAACAGGACTGTTCTTGTGCTCTTTATTGAAAATCTGTGATGTTATATCCCATCCCCTTCTTGAGTTTAATAATACCTGTAGCTCATGGTTGAAGGGCAAAGTCAGTACTGTATAGGATGGCCTGGATGCTTCATCTGTCCTCTATCCATCTACTTTTATATTTCTATCAGAATTTGCCAGGATTATTCTTAATCTACTTATTAAATTTACAGGAAGTTATAAGAATGTTCGTTATAATAAGTTTGTTCAGTTTGGTCTTTGGGTTCTCTTTTGTAACAATATGTTGTGAATTGCATCCAAGTGTATACAAGGGGTCCACGCTAAATTTTATACTGGTGTAATTCATTTCACATATACATTGCTAGCTAATGTAGGAAGAAATTTTCATTATACAATACTGTACGTCAATTGTTTCACATAAGCATTATCTGCATCATCCATTGTTTACTAAAAATCTCTCTTCCAGGATACAACTTATAAATAGTGTTAAAAGCACATACAGCGGGGTCCCCGGGTTACGAAGGGGTTCCGTTCCTGAGGACGTTCTTAAGTCGGAAATGTACATAAGTCGAAACACATGCTATGTGCATACCGTACTTCGAAAACAATGTTTAAAATCCTACTATATCATAGCCTAAGTCCTTATATACATCTAAAATCACTTAATTTAGGAGAAAAGAAGAAATAGCATGACAAAATACTGTAAATTAAAGTAAAAAAATCATCAGATAAATAAATTACAGTAAATTTAAAGCTTAATCACGTTTGTACCGGCTGGAGTTTGTAAGTCGGGGACCCCAGTACTGTAATATAATGTAAAAATAACCATAATAAGTAATAAGAGTACCCTACTGGTGTTAAGATTCTACCATGCAATAATATGCCAGGTACCTTTCACAGGACTGAGCACTAATGCCATTATGTGCAAGTAACCACAGAATTTGTGAAAATATCATTTCAGTGTGCTAGTGTGCCTTATGAATAAAGAAAATATTGTATACTGTACAGTAATGTAATGATATTAAATAAGAAAAAAAAATGGTGTTGGGGTATATTGAGTGTGGGAGAATATTGAGTCTAGATATAACCATAACACAAGAGCACTAGTTAGTTGTAAGAAGGTTGTACATGTGTCATTGTTACATATGAGAAAATACAGTATAAAAGTTGTGGGAAAAGTCATTTCAATGCTCTAATGCGACCTAGAAAAAATATTAGGTGTAAAATACGAAAATTTAAGAGTGGGAAGTGAATTGTGTGTAGGATAGACGGGAGGTAGGGTGGGTGAGTGGCTGGATAACTCCCATCTTGACCCCGTTTACACAACAGTTCCACCATGATTCTCGTATTATTTATGTTCATTTGGTGCCTGGTTAATAATATACTGTACTGTATTGTCATAAAATAAAAAATTTTCCCGAAAAAAAAAAATCAGACCCAACCCTAGATGAGCTATTGCATTTTATCAAATTCCCGGTCCTTGTTTACAAAGCTCGAACAGCTAACCATCCTCGCCCTCCCTCTGATCAGTGTTACCAATGCTCTCCTTCTCTTATGCATCTCTGCTGTCAATTGCTCAAGAAGGTTAGTGTTTACCACAACTGTCTTCAACACTTAGTAAATAATATTGTAGTGTATTATGTACAGTATTGACATTGAGTGTTTTAAAGCACTCAAACCAGGTGAACTCCTTTAGATCTTGTTCACCCACTGTACAACAGAGATGTTTTGCCTCAGCTCTGACCTTACAGAATACTAGTATTTTCTCTTATGTTAAGACACACATAAATAGGGTGTTCTATGGCCAGTGTTAAATACGCATGTCAGTTTTTAGATTTTGTCTTGAGTGTTTGCTATGTTAAAGACTCAAGTGTTTTATTATGCTAGTAATGTATTATTTAAAACATACAATGTTTATATAATGTAAGTTTCTGTAGATTATGCTGAAGTATGAGTTTAAAACTTGCACATTTGAAACTAGTATCTTTCTACAGAGATCTCTTTAGTAGAATAAATGAGTCCTAATTATTCTGAAATTACAGGTCCTGTTTCCCGGTCAGTGGAAATGCTAGAGCAAATGATGGAAGCTGGTATGAACATCGCACGCATGAATTTCTCACACGGCACTCACGAGTACCATTCTGAGACTATGAATAATGTCCGTATAGCTGCTGAAAATTACTCAAAGAAAATAGGTTATTCCTATCCTGTAGCAATTGCTCTCGACACAAAGGGGCCAGAAATTCGCACTGGTCTGTTGGAAGGTGTAAGTATCTATTATAAATTTTGGAAGTTAAATAATGTTCACTTATTCTTTTTTTTAATGACAATAAAAGTTGTTAAATGTTACTTGGTGGCTGATAATTATGTATGTGCAACATGAGCTAACTTCTGGACTACATAATTTCCACTGAAGGTTTTTTTATGATATTGTACTCTTGTGTGTCTTCTTACGAGTCTTTTTGAGCTTTTTCTTGATGCTTTGTTTAGAACGGGATGTAGTTAACTCTTAAGTGGGTCTAAGGATTCATACTCCTTTTCTATATGCTCAAAATTGGAATGTAGGGAACACAACTTCTACAGATGCTGGCTGCTATCCCTACAGCTAACTACCACCAATGCTGGCCACCATTTAAGGGTTAATAGATTAACAAATTGAGCGGGAAGGTACAGTAGGAAGTATCAAAGGTAGGAGTGTAAGCATGAAGGTAAAGAAGGAACTTACAGACCATATAAAATGTCTTTCTGTATCTTAGGACAATAAAACATAAGACATGGAATGGGGCAGAATGGTGTAAAATTCAAGCTACAGAGATGGATTGCTTGAAGGCATGGATGTGGGATTAGCAGATTAGAGGGGGTGGAAAATAGTGAGGTGTGTTGGATATTGGAATGGCAGAGGCTGTAAATGGGAAAGGTGAGAAGGATGCAGCTGGAGAGGAACATAAGGAGGGTGTATAGGGGCAGTGTAGCCAGGTGTCTTGGTTGATCACCTATATTGTGGGGGAAGGAAAGGCAGAACAATATGTACAGGAGAGAACAGGGGAATAGAGAAGGCAAAGTAGGTATGTAGTGAACTGCTGCATGGAGGCACTTGTGTTGTGGTAACCCCTCTATGGTGGAAGCTCCCTGGAGTGAGGTGTCGAACATAAGATTAACAAATGGGCAAATGTATTTCTTGTTAATTTTAAGCTCAGGATAACAATAGGGATTGTTTATCATAGTACTGTAGCGGTAACGAAGAATCATGTTTCATAAAATGGTAAATTTTTCTTTAATCTGAATTATTATTATGGTAAGTTATAATAATTATAATTCAGATTTAAGAAAAATTATTTGACCAGTTTATGAAACATGATTTTTCTTCCAGCTACAGCTAAAATGATTCAAATAAGTTATCACTGATATCTGATTTGAATCATTTCGGTAGTTTTTGGCAGATTTATTAATATATGCCATTAGTCTCAAAGAAGAAAAGAACCACTAGCTTTTTAGTGTGTGTGTGCGTGCGTGTGCGTGCAAAGATTGATATGAGAATTTATGTTTGATGTTCATTTATTTACAGGGAGCAAGTGCTGAAATTGAGTTAAAGATTGGTGCTCAGGTGAAGTTGACAACTGATAAGGAATGGTATGAGAAGTGTTCAGTAGACTGCATATACCTTGATTATGTCAACATCACCAAAGTTGTCAAGCCAAAGAACCGTATCTTCATTGATGATGGGCTCATCTCTCTCATTGCCAAAGAAATAGGTTTGTAATAGAGCAATTTGTTAATTTATTTTTACCCTTTCTCTACCATAGTGCAGGGGGGTATTCTCATCTATGCCATACTGTATATACAGTACAGTATATATATATATATATATATATATATATATATATATATATATATATATATATATATATATATATATATATATATATATATATATATATATATATATATATATATATATTATATATATAATATATTAATAATAATAAAAATAAAAAAGTTCAAAAGTGAGAAACAATATATGTATGTTGTGTTGTCAATAGTAAGAGAAACAATTGAGACCCTGCAATTGTGTGTTAATGGGGCAGAAAGTCAGATTAGCAACCTGGGTCTTGGTCACAATTTTCATGATGCTATATGGCAACAGGGTCTACCATTTGACAATACATTACCACTGTTTAAAAAAATATGTATAAGTATTTTCATGATTCACTCACATCTAAGTTATGAAAGGTGAAAAAATTTTCCCAGAGTACAAAGAGGGAGCAGTGGATGTTAATTCTGAAAGTAAGAAAATGAGTTTAGGGAAAACTAATGGTCACATACTGTAAATTATGCTTGTATAAAACATAATCTACTGCTTTATTTCCAAAAATTTATTTTCAGTAGCACTTAATTCTGCATTATCAGACTAATATATGACCCCCATTTCTCTATATTACAAAAGGTGACAACTTCATCGTATGTGAAGTTGAGAATGGAGGTATGCTGGGAAGCAAGAAAGGTGTAAACCTGCCAGGAGTTCCAGTGGATTTGCCAGCAGTGTCAGAGAAGGACAAGAGTGATCTGTTGCTGGGTGTTAAGATGGACGTAGACATGGTATTTGCTTCCTTCATCCGTAATGCTGCAGGAGTGAGGGAGATCAGAAATGTCTTGGGTATGTTTTTGTTTTAATTATTATTAGTGCTGTTTTATAATTAGTGCTATTTAAGACCTTTAAGTTTCATGGCAGATGAGAACTACAGTAAGCTCTCATATTTTGCATTTTTTAATTTTGCAAGCACTACCTAATGTAACCAAGTCTTATATTTGGTGTAAAATATCGTGAGTTTCACGAGATCCAGTAAGCTGAATGCTGGCCACCATCTTGAATGACATCACAGCCCTCATACCAGTTAGTCAATTCTGCTACAACGCGTTTTTTGTCAATGGGAATTTATTGTAACGCGATTGATGAAGGGGGGAACGCTGTTTGTAAAACGCGAACTTTTGCATACGAATGTTGGCTATCGCCCGATTCCATCCTCAACGTTTTAAGCGTGGTGCGGGGTTATGCAATGTTTACAGTTTACGTTCGACATCACATGTTCAATTGATTCTTGTCTTTTGTTTGTGAAGTGTTTTTTGAGGGGTACTCTGTAAATTTTGTTCCTTTTTATTTTTGTGAAAATTTAGCTGTTATCCATAAATACTGTGTGAAAAGAATAAGTAAAAAGACTTTCGCAGTGAGGACTAATAACGGTTTACATCACGTGATCAGTTGAATCTTGCGGTTTCTGTTGATTGCTCCATGATTTTTGTTTTCTCCAATTTTTTTGTGTTAGCGATGAATATGGAAAGACAAGGTAAGAAGAATGTTTCCAAGAAGCGTTCTGGTGATCGAATTGCTGGTGGTGAACATAAGAGGTTTACAAGAATGCAACTATCGTGTTGTAGCCCCTGCCATTCTAGCAACTGCCCGGGCTGCTATTGTGTGCTTTTTTGGATGGTGCTACCACCTGTTGAGTCAAGATAATGGCCTCTACTTCTACTGGGAGTCCTACTGGTGCAGGTGGGACAGACCCACCTAAGCAGCCAAATAAGGAAAAGGAGAAGCAGGACTATCATAAGGGAGTTACGTTTGCCAAGTACTCGATGCAGGATAAGCAGCGTGTGATTAAGTTACTTGAGGAAGGCCTAAAAACTAGTTTCTGGGAAGCACAATCAGGTCAATAAAGGCAGAATTTGTATCATTTGGAGGTTATAAATGGGAAAATTGGAGGTTGATGTAGAGTGGCCAGTCTATATTGTTATTTTTCCCATTAGTTTATGTATTTGCATTTGGCGAATTTGAATTTGGCGCAATTTTTCCAGTCTTTATTACTTGCGAAACACTAGAGCTTACTGTACAGTGTATTATTTGAGGTGCGCAGGAGAAAACCTTCAAATTAGGTACTGTACTATATACATGGGGGGCCCCAAATTCGCGGGAGTTAGGTTCTCAAAATGGCCGCGAATTGCCAAATCCGCGAATAACATTTGCGGACGGGGGGTTTACATTTTTACTTGTGTACAAAGAAATGTATATTCCCTTCGTGTTTACCCTAAGTAAAATTATTTATTTTCCTGTAGTATTGTATGTGTGTAGACACACACACAAAACACGTACAAATAAATAATAATTGGAAAATCCTCACAAATAATCAAACAAATTTATTAAAAATGTGACATTCTACTCAAGCCTGTGCTCTATTAATAAAGTTCTGTAATAGAGCCTGACTAGAGGGTAGACTGTCACATTTTTATTAAATTTGTTTCTGATTATAGGTATTTGTGAGGGTTTTCCAATTTGTATGTGTTTTGTGTGTGTGTGTCTACACCCACATTTACAATACTGTACAGGTAAAGGAAATTACTATCTCTAGAACGAACGGCTCCCTGTCCCAGCCACTAAAATGCTGGCAACTTTATAACTACCCACAGACATTCTTGGGTACATCTAGGGTGTCATCCGCGAATAACTGCACCGTACGGTATAACATTTCTATTTAATTTTTCATAAAATTTTTTCCTGTTTTGAAGTGTCTAGACATTATGTATACTTAGTACCGTACATAAAAGTTTATAATATTTCAATGTTTAAAGTGACCTGGAGATGAGCAAGTTTGTAATTCATACCATTGGTCATTACCCGGTACTGTATTAGCTGAAATGATTTGCGTTTCTCTTACAGGAGAGGAAGGAAAGAACATCTTGATCATAAGCAAGATTGAGAATCATCAAGGTTGTAAGAACATTGATGAAATTATTGAAGAAGGAGATGGCATCATGATTGCCCGTGGCGATTTGGGTATAGAAATTCCTGCTGAGAAGGTCTTCATAGCACAAAAGCAGATGCTAGCCAAGTGCAACAAGGTAATTTTTGAAAGCCAAAGTTATATTTCATGATTTATGACGAGATAGAAGGTAGACAGTTGGTACGGGCCTTCATTTTCAGATACAGTGAACCCTCACTTTACACGGTCAATTGAACCCACGGCGGCCCGTTTAAAGTGAACAACATAACATATGGGATTAATTGAAATAGAGACTGGGCCGACCCCCAAACTCCACTTTTTCAGACACAATACCTACGTTGTAGTAAAAATAACTTCTTAATTTTATTATGGTATGCACACACAATTAATAATTAAGAGAAATATCAATAATATTAGGTTTTTTAACACTTACATTAGTAGAAAAGATGGCTGGGCACACGGGGATGGGGGGTTGGTTCCGAGGCAGAGGGCAGATTATTGGCCCTCACCTGTATCACTTGTATCACTATCCACCACAGAGGCTTGCAGGGCCTCTTTGTCAAACCCCTCAAAAGTCCATATAAGGCCATATCCTCACTATCACTGACTTGGGCCGGCTGTGGTGGGTGGCGGGTGAAGAACTCGGTAATGTTTTGATGACTGGGCTACCTTGTGCGCACCCTGCTTGCGTTGCTCTCTGCGTAAAAGGGTACACACACCGCGGAAAGTGAGCATTCCGTGTTCGGCAGGGTACCGCGTAAAGTGGGACCGCGTAAAGCGAGGGTTGACTGTACATGTATTGTTGTTGTGCAACAAACAGCTTGTGCACCAATGGCAACACCAGTCATCCATTCTTCAAAAATATACGTTCATAGTACTTTTCATAGGAGTGAAAGGGTTTAGGTATTTGGTTGAAAAGGTGACTGAAATTCTTTTCTTGTGGTAAGTCTGGGATGGCATGTGAATGTAACAGTCACTGAACCCAAGCCACAAGACTAAGTTATTTTTTTTATATGAATAGTGAAGCTAATTGAGTATGACAATTATATAATGGGTTATTGTATTTACAGTTATATCCTCTAAGAATTGTTGGTTTAAACCACGAATTTAATTAGTAAGCTCCATAGTATAGAAAAGAGTGGAATATGTTGATTTTTTCTTTATGCAAATCTCCATTGATAAACAACTTTTGCTTGTCCTAGTAATAAAAAAAAGTGGACTTGACTGACTTTATTTTTACTGTAGGTGGGAAAGCCAGTCATCTGTGCCACTCAGATGTTGGAGTCCATGGTAAAGAAGCCAAGACCAACCCGCGCTGAAGTATCGGACGTGGGCAATGCTATCATGGATGGAGCCGACTGTGTCATGTTGTCTGGAGAGACAGCCAAGGGAGATTACCCTCTCGTGTGTGTAAGAACAATGGCAAACATTGCTCGAGAAGCTGAAGCTGCCTTGTGGCACAAGCAACTCTTCATTGAACTTTCTCAGCAGGTATTGCACCAACTTGTTTAACATAATAATCATAAGTTTATAACATCTGATCAAGTTTGACTATTTAAAGAAGTATTCTAGGATTTGTAACATGTGCCGAGTAAAATCCCCCAGGACTCGGCACATATGGGGTTGAGGCCTTGCCAAGTAATCGAATTTGTCAACTTATTGGTAATGAGCATATATTATATACTTTGTGTATATGATAAAATATAAGGAAGAGTTGAATTTGGTACTTACAACAGCAAGAGGTGATTTCTTGATGAGCTTGTAAGAGGCAGATGAACTGTACGGTGCCTGTTCAGTACAGTAAATTGTTCTGTCGAACTTAAAATACTATGCACTTTATACGTAACATTAACACTTTACAGGCATTGTAAATAATTGTTCTGACAAACTTAAGAATATTTGTACAGTAACACTTCACAAGCACTTAATCACTGTCAGAAGACATAAGTGTTCAGGCAACTCAGGTGTCACTGATTGTGGTGTAAAACTGTGCTCTTTTGAGTCTGAGTTGGAGGGACAAACATAGCCACTGGTGAGGGGCAACGATATATCAGTGTCTGAGGTGTCAGCCACTGCAATAACGAGCCAGAAAGAGTCGCAGCTTGTAGTGGTTTTTTGCATCTTTTTACAAGATAATGCTTGAAAAATTTGTGGATCTTGGGCTGTTTGAAGTGGGCATGCTAACGGGAGTAGTGTTTCTGTATCTCCTGCTCCTCACCCTGAAGTCAATCCAACACATTGTCCAAACACCTATATCATCATCATCATCACGGTGTTCTGCTTCTTCACTCGGCACTGTCACACTAGTCACAATTTCTTCCTCACTCTCAATATGCTAACCTGGATCCTCAGCATCATATTCTAGCCACTCCAATTTGTTTTCCCCGGTTGACTCTGTCTCACCATTCTTGTGAAGTGCATGAAGGAAATCTTGACTACAACCCTGAAAATTAACCTCTACATTTTTGTCATGCAGCAGTTTGCCCCAGGCATTGAACAAGGTGAGGCTAGTCACCTGTCCCCATGCCTCAGCCCAGTTAAACAACACATTTCTTCTGTTATACTTTTTCGTGTTTTCTAAACTGCAAGCACAGTCTTTTTCCATGTCACTCTCATTGTCAAACACCATTTCATCTATTTGTTTCTGTAATGCCTCTTATAGCTCACAATCACCCCCTGGTCCTTGGATTGTATCACTGACATTGTGTTGGGAGGCAAAATAATTTTTTTAATCTTCCCCTTCTTGCTGCCTAGTTCCTTACAGCAGGATGGGCTGGAGCATTGTAAAAAAGTAGTGGAGCCTTCACATTTACAGGGTCAGTCTTCAGCTGCACCACTTGGAATTTCTTCACCTTGGACACAAAGTGTTTGTGGAATCAAGTGTAAACGATTTCACGGGTGAACCACACACTTTTGTTAGCAGTGTAGCGGACGGGAAACTTGTCCATGATGTTCTTGATGGCTCGTGGGTTCTTGGACCCCCACACACACACACACACAAAACCATTGGCTTACAGCGATGACTCCTGTCTGCATTTGCACAGACGAGCAAACAGATGCTCCTTGGATATTTTGCAACCTGGAGTGGAGGTTTCCCTCTTTTCTGCTTGGGTTAAATAGGGACAGAACTTCAGTAAAGGCCTGTTTCAACCCCATTGTACATCTGGACCAGCAACAGGCCACTGTCCTTCATGAGAGCAGCGAAGGTCTCCCTGAATGGCTGGCTGTATGCTGCCAAGATCAACACTAAGCACTTCACCAACAACCTTCCTATCACATAAACAGTGCCAATTTCTGAATTTGTAGAGCCAACTTGAAATCTTGAATGTTTAAGGTACTCGGCAAAATGGAAAGCATCATTTTGTATGTTCAGACCTTCTGTTTGTACTACTTGAAGATGGCCTTCTCCAGCTTCTTACACTTTGGTTGCTTCATCGTTTTCTTAGACTTGAACAAGTTCTCCATATCTTCTTGCTGAAAGCCAAAGGCACAAAGCTTTTCCTTCTCTTCTTGATGTCATAGAAGGTGGAGGAAGAGATTTTAAACTTGTTACACATGGATACACCAGCATCTTCAGCTACTTGCCTTTCCTGGTGGTAGAGGCTTTCTTAGAGGATGTTGCAGAGTCGGGCATGTTTATTAAATCCACAGAACGGTGAAATAACTGCTTTGTAGGTCAACTTGCATGAGTGCAGTTCTACCCAAGACAGGAGACGTGCATAAATTGATGCTCCCTGGACTGACTCAGGGTGCCACACCTGGGTTGGCTTGCCAAGTTCTCGCGAGAGACTTGGCTTCTGCCAACTACTCAAAAAATATAACTGCTACCTGATGCCATGCCGACTCATCACAAATTCCGACTACTGTAATTGGATGCCAAGTAATGGGTGTTTTACTGTATTTTCAAATAGATAATGTTGATCTTTTAAATATTTGATCATTGATACACACAACTGCACGAAAAGATATAGAGAGCTTACAATATATATCCTTTAACAATGACTAGCACAGGATGGCCAGAATCAAAAGTAACACACATTCTCACTGTTTTTATCCATTCTCACTGCTGTAACTTGTTCTGCTGTTGAGTTCTGCCACCACAACAAGGCCTCATGAATTCCATTTGGCCATTTCACCTACAGCCCAGCATCACACATCAGTGGCACCTCCATCCCCTAAAACAAAATCTCAGACTATCCATTTAATTCAGTGTCCTTCAATTCTTTTCTTCAGTCCAGCAACATGTTATTGCAGTACCCAAGGAAACCATGAGAATATGAAGTCTAACCATGTGACCCTTACTTTTATATAGAAATACTACATCGATGTGGAAGTATATTTCTAAAAGAAGGGAAGGACATCATCACTTGGGAGGTTATCGTGTGAGTGATTAACAAAAAAGCAAATGTCTAGTGGTTTATGAGGATGAAGTTGCATGTGAGGTGTGATTGTAATTTGTATTAGATGCCGAGTAAACCTTATTATGAAAGAGGAAGACCATAACGGAATGCATCTATTAACAGCTAGTAAGGAAGAGTCTCTTTGCTCTAGATTTTGGCCTCCCTACAATTTGTTAGAAAAGGTTTTGCAAGAGGAGTTTTTTTGACTACAGTAATCAACTTTTGTCTCCCCCTATTATTCTTTCCAGGCTCGTTTGCCAACAGATTCTACGCACACAACAGCGATTGCAGCTGTTGAAGCCTCTTTCAAAGCCATGGCATCTTCCATTATTGTCATTACCACCACTGGTCGCTCTGCTCAACTTGTCTCACAATATAAACCCCGCTGCCCTATCATGGCCGTGACACGCTTCCCTCAAGTGGCTAGACAGTGCCACCTCTACCGAGGCATTATTCCCATTCACTACACTGGTAAGTTTAATTTTATCTATGTTTTGTGTTGATTAATCTAATTAGCTATAGTATGTAATTTTTCTTGAAAATCACACTTTTGAGAGGAGGATTGTGTATCATTGTTAAAAATAATTACTTTACCTGTATTTCTAAACATAAAGAATATTGTAAATTTATTCGTGTCTAAATGTTTAGGCTGGGCTTTGCATTAACTTTGTTTCACTCTTCCAGTTGGACAAAAAAGTATAAGTAATATTTGTCTGAACTCAATTTCCACAAGCCCAAACTATTTGTGTAAATGTTTCCATTAATTAATATATTGTCTGAAATATGATAAACTAGACATTTATATGAACTCTTATTTAATTTTAAAATGTAACCCACCAAATAGTTATAGCAACCAAAGAATATATCATATTAGATTTGGGTCGCGACCTGAGGTTAGGAACCGCTGCTAGGTTATCATCACACACAAACTAGGTATAAATAAGGTTGCTATATCCTTCTAAGTACTGAAAGTATTGTGTAAAAAGTTTCCACACAGCCATGAAAGCAAATATGAAATGATATCAACTAATTGTAAGCAATCAGAAACAAATATTAATTCAGTATGTATGCATAATATACTGTACAGTACAAGATATTTTTATGCTTTTTAAACGGGTAGTGCAATGTTATCCCCATTAGCTGGAATAATTGGTGCAGAGCATTTCCTGGAATAATAGGTTTCCGAGTATGGAGACAGATTTTATGGTCCCCAGACAAAATTGCACATCCCTGGAAATTTTCTGGGTAATGGGGACAATTTTCTGAAAGTCTAAATTTTGCCTCTCGCACAGACAGACACAGAACTATATTTATTTATGCAAACACCACTGTACAATTGCATTATATTGTAAATAAACTAAATTTACTTTTGTACAGTATACACTATTGTACTCTCCAGCAGATGCTGTTGTCTTGAGCTTGTGATGCAGACAGGCATTTGTCCTATTACCATCTCATGTATCAGGTGTCACTTTCCTCTCCCTTCCATGAAGGGGAGGGATTGTACACACTGTATACTGTACAGTACATACACCCTCTACACTCTAGCTTACAATAGGCATACACTGTTCACTCTATGTACATATGGTACTTTCACAGTTTCACAATGAATGTACAGTACATCTTACTATAATCACCTTTTACATCTTTAATGGTATTCTTGGCTGATTATATGCTGGTACAGTACTGCAAAACACAGATTGTATGCAAAGCCTACAGTGAACGAGCAAACAAGCTTGTACAATGGCAGCAGACAATGAACAAAGAGTTTGAGGAGATAGGCTGCGAGATACATCAATGAATCAATCATAGGCATCCCATACAGTCATATGACAGTAGTGGCCAATTGTAGCTCATGAACACTGAACCTAACCAGCCACACTCCCGGCACTCGTCCCTACATCGCAAACACGATGCAATCTCTCGGATCTCCCGGAAAATTACTTCCCATATCTAGAATGGAGAGATATTCTCAAATTTTCTGGAAATGCACATTATTCCATCCTTGGAAACTTGCTCCCATGCCTGAAAAGATTTTTCCTGGAATTTCTTGGAAGGCTAAAAAAAATAAAAATAAAAAATCGACTATTGGCGAGTTCTGGAATCGAAGATTCCGAGTAACGGGGATATTACTGTACTTTACTGTTTGAACTTGATCTGTATACCATGGCATCTCAGACTATAGTAAGATATAAAACATTATTAAAATGTGATTTAAGAGTATATTATAATATACTTTAAAGTTAACTAATAGATGAGGGAAGCTGGTTGTAATTGGTTGATTGTGTGAAAACAACTCTTTTCAAGGTTGTAGGTTGGGAAGACCTTGTCAGTACCTATATTATTATCAAAATTAATGTGCCTCCTCTTTAGACCCATGCTACCACCAACTATTGTATCCTCTGTTTCAAAACTGAGCTTTCTGAGGTACTACACAGGGAATCAATCATTTGTGAACTCATAACCAAGCATAGTTACCAAAGCCTGGACATGTATGGGATCTTACTGGAAGTAATAGTACTGTACTGTACTTGCCACTTGGTGTTTTTTATTGTTTATATTATTTAAAATAACAGAATACAACTATTAATAATAATGTTTTCTGATATTATTTTGTTAAATTACAAATTCTACTCATTTAGCTGGGCAAGTAATTTGTATTTTTCCCCAACTGAACTGAGGTTGTACTCATCTCAGATGAGTAAACTAAGGTTATTGCAAAGCCCTGCTATATATATATATATATATATATATATATATATATATATATATATATATATATATATATATATATATATATATATATATATATATATATATATATATATATATATATATATATATATATATATATATATATATATATATATATATATATATATATTACTGTATATAATTTATTTACTTTTTTTTCTATCTTTCTTGGTCTATATTCCAGTGCCTCAGAAGGGTATGTTAGTTTGAGTGAGATGTAGAGTATGAGTTTCTGAACTGTGCTCTTTTTTTTTTTTTTCATTTGCTTGTTATTCAAATGATAACATGGTATTACTGTATTGTGATATTAACTCTTGTTCCTTGTGTAACAGTTGAAATAACTTTTAATGTTTTGCATATTTAGTGAGCACTACTCGGCAATGAGGCTGCCTTGCTTTATTTAACAAAGCACCAATGCTTGTGTTGACCCCTGTATATTCTTGATTCCCTCACATCTGCTAAATTTTTCAAAATCTAAATAAAAGTGTTTTGAAAATATTTAATTGTAGTAGATATAGAGAAACAGTTTTCTTGTGTTTTCATATGTGTTAAATTATGGAGAAACAAGACAATTATAGTGGTGTTGCACAGGATATACTATTAGGTTATTTATTGCTTGGAGAGTCAGGGATAAATTAAAAAAAAATTAATAGATGCTTTTCTGCTTGGGTTTAATGTTGCAACATTGCTAGACAACTCCTTGTGTGTGAGCTTTTATTGTAAATAACTGTTTTTTTTTTTTACTTCCTTTTGAAGTTATTTTTCTGGTAACCTTGTACTACTCTTACTTGTACCCTTGTCTTTGAGTGATTGCTTATTTTGCAAGTAATTTTTTTATTTTATTTTACTTTTTCCCAAATTTAACAGATAGTTCTAAGGTGCTTAACTATTACTGTTGCAATTTATTTAAGGGCCATTATTTGAACTTAATGAAATGGCATAAAATACCTTGCACAAAGCACAAGTCATGCATATCATTAACATTGTATATTAAAAAAAAATGCATGTCACAAGACCCTGCATAATGGGGGGGATCCAGTAGGTAGCTGGCCTATGGTCAACACCACCCACACCATGAACCATCTGTAACACAACAACCAACCATTTCTGCCATGAATCCCACCAACCAGCACACTCCTCTATCACTATCATCAGGCTGCTTTACACAACTCTGCATTATGTGAATTGACCTCGCATAACCATCAGGGCACAGGAACATTCATAGCATTTGTTGATTTGACAAACCCCTGGACATTACCTGATTTGACTGATCTTGCACCTGTTCACCATATGACTCCATGCGTGCTCCTTCGCCAGTCAACTCGGCTAGTTTTCCACCCAGTTGTCCCACTACATTCCACAACCCATTGTAAACATAATTATTTTGGCTGAGAGTCCAGTTGCTGGAAATCTCTTATCTTCTCTTATATATTGTACACTTGCTACAGAAAGTATCTGCAGGGTGGGGTCCGATGGATGTCAAAATGAACATTGTGATTCTGGTTGTCTTGGTAGGGTCATTAAAATCCGTCGTCCGTTGTCATGTCTAGCAAAAATTTTGGCAGAATTTTATGTAACGAGTGTACTTGTACTGTGACCTAACCCTCTATATTACATGAGTACTGTATTATGCTTCTATCTTTTACTAATTTTGCCTTATGTGAGGTGTTTCATGAAGTAACTTTGTAAAATGTACTGGATTTATTTACAGTACAGTTCACACTTTATATTCAGAAAAATGGAAAAGATATTTGGATAAATACAGTGGTCCCTCGGTTAACAAACACAATTCGTTCCAGAAGGTCGTTCATTAACTGAAAATTTCGTTAACCGAAACCATTGTTTCAATGGTATTTTGGGTAATTGGTTCCAGCTCACCGAAAATTACATACAAAGTAAAAAAAAAAAAATGCAGTAAAGTACACTTACTTTGAGGTGTGTATGTAGAAGGCTCCTGGTTGAAGATGATGGGAATTAGACGTGGGGGTGAAGGAAAAGGGAGAAAAGAAGGCAGTGGGGGTGGAAGAGAAATCACCCCATGCTTCATGCCGTCATTTCACCCATAAAATTTTAAGTTCACTAGGTGTAATTCAAGATTATTTTCTTTAAATCAACACTGCACTGCACTATATATTGTCAATATGTTAAATAAATTTCAGAATGACCAATAATTGCACTGTAAAAACAGTGTGTTCAAGAGACCCATGAGCAAGATGTTTCCTTCACTGAACAGAGATACAAACTGAAGCCTTGGTGGGTGAGTGAAGTGGCTGTTGGGTGCACCAAAGACTAGTTCCCTGTACTGCAATTATGTTAAATAAGTGATAAAATGACTAAAAATTTTAATATAAAACTTGGAAAATTACTGAATAGTACAACCTTCTTGATATTTACTCCAATTTTAACAAATGTAAGCACTAGAACCGATTTCTGTATTGGCGGACTAATCTTCCAGCTGGTGAGCAAGCCAAAGCATGTCGAGACACTTTCTTAAGAATTTTGTTAACCGAATTTTTGTTCGTTAACCGAATTGAATATTCTGATGGAAGGTAATTCGTTAACCGAAATTTCGTTAACCGAGGGACCACTGTATGATAACTTGGTAAGGGACAAGTTTGCATAATACACTTGTAGCATATTTATGAATGGGAATATATTATATAAAAAATAATAATGTGAATGTGTTTATTGAAAGCAAAACATTAAAAGAAAATAATGAAAGGCAAAATAGTAACTTTTGTGTTACCTCTCCTATGGTAGTTTCATTGGATGACTAAGACATGAAATTTGAAAATCTCCAAGTTAAATACTATACATTTACTATTGTATGCAGTGGTAGTTATTTGTATGAAATTTTCTAAATCTCAGTCCATGTGTTACACAAGTTACAATTGTAGAGAATTTGTGTTAATGTTACTGGATTGGTGAGAAAGTAATATATATACTGTATATAATAAGAATTGGGTGTTACATCTTTATTATGAGCTGCATATTTACAGAGAATGAAATGTGTTTTAGTATAACTATTTCCCTATTTTGCTTTTTTGCATGCAGAGGATGAAGACGGTATGTGTAAAGCACTGTTCGTCTTCATGTATTGTCGGTTAAATTGCCATGCTTAGTTTTAAGTTATTTATTACGTTTGCATCTTCACATCGTTGAATGTGCTTTTGTTCACTGCCTTTAATGTTGAGTGAATATTTGGTTAAATCTTTATTTTTCATGCTTTTTTGACCACTTGATGTAGGGTAGCTAGAATCAGTAGCAGCTTCACATGCACACACATTCTCATATCAGTCAATCACTTTTACTTTGTAACTGTTGTGCTGTATCCTGTTATAGTACTCCTCTTTTACGAGGTCCCAAAACTGGTATAGTTCTGTTACTTCACACAAACCAGCATCACCCTTCAGTAGCATGTCCTCCCCCAAAATCATTCAGTGCCATGCTCTCCAATAACTTAAACACATTGCTGCGTTTTGGATGATCATCTTCACGTCTTACATTTTCTTCACTTCATTTTTCTATCCTTCATGGTCTTCCTAGGAACTCAGTAATATTATCTATTTCTGAAGTGTTTTGGGTAAATAGAAAATTTCTGAATGCCACTCAGAGTTCTTACAGGGAGAGGAAAGCATGTTATTGTGTGTTTGGAAGAGGGAAACTGATTTCCAGTGATTGACAGACAATGTCATGGATAGGATAGTAAGAAAAATTAAAACAAGTGTAATGGAAAGATGTGCATATTTTGTGTATAAGGGTATGGATGCAAATGTGAGACAAGTCAGCTCCTGTTTTCTTGTAACATTATACTGGTGGATGTAGCTGTCATTAAATGAGTTGGTGTATGTGTTTGTATTAGGAAAGTGTAATTAGTGTGTACAAAAGAAATGATGAAAATAATGGGTGAAGGGAGACAGAAATATATTTTGGTTTGAATGGAAATAAAGTGTAGGATGTGCAATGTGAATGTGTTAGCAAGTGAAACATTGACTGAACTTATGAATCACAGTAGCAGAAGAAAAAGGTAATAGATGCTCTGAGAAGTTTATGGAAAGAAATCCTGTTAAAGAAGGCAAAGATGGGTATATGTGGGGAATCATATACTGTACTGTACCTGTAGTAAATATGAGCATAAAGCAAGGGTAATGGATGCAAGGTGAAGAAATAATTGAGAGGCATGAACACTACTAACATGTCGGATGAATAGGGTATAGAATTGATAAGATTAAGAAAATAGGTGTGAAAATGTAAACGAACAGACAGACCTGACCTGGGTGGAATTGACCATCATACAAGACACTTACCACCACACCACAAAATACTAAACACACTGCCTTGTAATTACACTGCAACACACGACATATAACTCCTATGTAACACAAATTTCCCCCAGTGTCCCTCACCCTAAGCAAAAATAAATAAAAATAATAATAATATGTTTTGGTGTTAAGGAATCGTAGGAAATAGTTTATGGAGTGTGGTAATGCAGGACAACTATATGGGTCACCTAAGTGGTGTAGTGGACCATCCAAGATAGACCCCTTCACCCTTTCTGGCAACCCCAGACAAAAAAAAAGTAATCCCATCATTACATACACACAACATCCCAGTGCTCCACTAAGAAATCATTTCAAGTTTATAATTGTACTGTATAACATTTAAGAGATCTAAAACCTTAAATTTACTCGGTACTCTTCCCACATAGTTTCCACAAGTTTTGCATTCGTGGAGGATATACTGTAGTGGTTTTACTATGAAGTAGATAAGTATATTCATGTTTGTTTGCACTGCATCATTCTGTGTGCAAACATTGACATACAATATTCCTTGTCCTTGATTTTTGTCAACACATTTTTTGTTTTACAAATTATAACTGACATTTGTGCTTCACTTATTGAACCTACTTTTCAGTCAACCATTCTCTCCACACTTACTGTATGTACTCATTCTCTCTCTATTATTCAATATTTATTATTTCCCGCACTTAGTTAATTTTTTATGGTGATTTACTATACCGAGGTATCACCGATGTCACAGGAGTGTTATTGAAACCCTTCTTTTATGATGCGTTTCTTATTATAGAATTTAAATTAATATTAAATGCTGACTACTTGAGATGGAACTTTGTCTTTTTTGTGTGTTACTGTACAGTAAATGTAATTTTATATATCTTTAATAAGGGGTTGACATGTTATTTGAATATGCTTAACAAACTTAAACTTCATGCAATATAAATCAATAGCTTTATTGCAAATGCAGTACTGTACTGTAATAATCTTGAAATGGCATAATTCATTACAAAGTGTTTGGTATATTTTAACATGAGCATTCCTCATCCTTGTTCAGCTACCTGCTAGTGATAATAGCTTGATACATAGAATATACAAAATTCACTAACACAACGAAAACCAAAAGTTCTGTTTAAGGGACATCACTCCGAGTCTAAACCATCATACAGTAGTTCATTTGTTGTAAGAATTTTATTTACAACTTGATTAACGTTATGGTTTACTGCCAGTGATTAAGAGTGTATACATAGTCTGCTTTCTGTGTGCTGTATGCTTAACCCTGCTGTAAGTTCAGTAGTTAGTTCAAAGTACTGTATGCTAATTTTTAAACCTAATTTTTTTTTTTACGTCTGATTTGAATTTGACTGTAATTTTACCATATGATACGTTTTTAAGATCAGTTTTGAAAACGTTATCAGCATTTTACACGAGTGAAATGTACATACCTGTCTTTTCCTCATCTCTCAAGTAGGAGTTGTTCTTGAAAAGAACAAAAAAGAGCTGTGTTTAGGGGTTGAATTATCCACATTAGCACTGGCAATAAAAATTAATGCCAGACATTGTTGAACAGTGGGGTTAAGTCAATCAGGTTTGTTAAGTTTTCAATATAACTTGCTTCAAATACTGGTACAGTAGCTATTTGACGTTTGACTAATGTTCTTTGTGATGTACATAGTAATTTTCAAGTCATAGATTAGATAATAAGAATACTGTAATTAGTTTCCCTTATTCAATTATAATTAAAGATTTTGGGTCAAGTGCTCCACATACAAATACAGTAAACCCTCTTTATTACACATTTTGATATGATGTTATTTGCATTAATATAACAAATGAATTAAAGTCCTTTCGGTTTCTAACACAGTGTGTCTGCTTCTACATTATTACTGCATCAAAAATGTAATTTTAAATTCATTGGCCAAGCTTCCCTGAATCAGTGTGTGAATGGACCTAGTGATCATGTCTCAAGAAATCCTCCTGTACTCTTGTGTACACCAGAATGGATATTAGCAAATGCAAGATGCAGAGGTTGAGTAATTTGATGATGAATCTAAAACTACTGTACTCATGAATGGACGGACAGTACAGTATTACACTTAATTGCTTTTCATAAATATGTGTGTTTTAAAAGTTTCCAGTATTCTTTACTTTATTATAGTATTATTTAAAGAAATTCATACTAAAGTGAATCACAGTATCATAAGTCTAGTATCTATAATGATCAACAAGGAGCTTAAGGGTACAGTAATTTATTGTTTTATACTGTTTTTTAGTCTTCAGACTATGTATCTGTTTGGATTTTACAGATGATTATGTAAATAGGCTAAGGATAGTTAGTGTGTAATTGTACTTAGGGGTTTTGTAAGAAAAAAAGCTATTTCCTGGAACTGCTCGAGAACATTTGTATTAATTCTTTTTATCTTTCCAGCTGAACGTTTGGAGGATTGGATGGATGATGTAAATGCCCGAGTTGATTATGCCGTTGGGTACGGCAAGGAGCGTGACTTCGTCAAATCTGGAGACCCTGTGGTGGTGGTCACTGGCTGGCAGAAGGGAGCCGGCTTTACCAATACCATGCGTGTTTTGTACGTAAAGTAATTTGTTGCTTATAAACTCCAAGGGCTGCTTCTGATATGTTTGGGTGATATGGAGACACGTTTTAATGCTGATGTGGGGTACTAGATGGTGACAACAAATTATTGGCCTCGCATAAATAATGCTTTATTTCAAGCTGTGCACCTAATATAGGTTATTGATACTACAAATATTACCATACAATATTTCATTGTGAGTACAGGTAGTATGTATGCTAACAAACAGCTTGACTGATTGAAACATGATACAGCCTTCCAGCAAAAAGAACTACAATGGGAATCCATAGGTGTGATGTTCAATGGTGACCGAATGTATTTAGTGAGACTTTGCTTTAAAATGCTGCCGAAGACTTAGGTACGATATTATTAGTTTAAGATGAATTAAAGTACAGTACAGTACATAAATATATAGATACAGGTGTATGTGTCCATTATTAAATCTGCAAAATATTAAGACAGAGTTTTGTGGAGTGGAATACAGTTGATTAATTATTCAATATTTTATTCTCACTCACATGATAATTCATATATCACTGCATGCTTCTTGATTTTGAATCTATTTTTTTTTTTTTTTCTTGGTATGAAATTGATTCTATGAATGTAATTGATTGAATATTTTTAAGATTTATTTTTTGTTATGGAATGTCATTCTTAATGATGGCTTTTTAGTTGAATAAGCTCGTGACTTCAGTTCTGCTTCTCTGAGCTTCCACAGAGTCTGTAGCATACTTGTGTATTCCGCTAATATTCCTGGAATACTTCATTTCCTGCTTTTGTTATTTTTGGCATTTTGCATTATTTAATGCTTCTAAATGAAATGTAATACTGTATGCTAACAGTCAACATGTATGTCATACATTGGTTCCATTATACCATACCATGAAATACTCGCATTGTTTTTGCTGAAAATGGTAACTAATTCTGTATGTATAAGTCATTGTTTTTTGTTTAGCAGTTATTGGGGTCAAGGGAAAAATATGAACTAATCCATGCATGTACAAGATATATATCTGAAACACACACACACACACACACACACACACACACACACACACACACACATATTTTATATGTATGTTTATATACTGTACATGACATTAATTCAGTATTAGTGTGCTTGAGCTCTCAAGGTTAGCAACATAGCACAGTAAATGTGAATCAGTGAGGTAGAGGTGATTTAAGACCAGGTGTATATGTTAATTTTCTCCAGTATTATGTGCATGCGAGTATGGAAAGTGCAGATGGACAGCTGCGTTGCATTAATATAAGAAAACTTTTCCTTGTGTTATGGGAGTAGCAGTAGACCAAAAAGGATGTCTTTGTCACAGCTGAATGTGGGTGAAGAACTTATTGTTGCTGTAGTTCCTATGTAGATCTACTGTTAGCCAGATGTATTTATTGGATGCTGTAAAGCACCTTGTATTGTAGGATGGATATGGGATCAGGAAAGTTCCTTCATATAAACTTGGTAAATTGTATTTTTATGTTAGATTCTCAGGAGTGATTTGAAAAATGCACTCGTCATATGAATTTTTGTATTGTTCCCATGATGATAATACAGGTTGATCTATGCCTGGGTGGGCTAATCCATGTTTAAAAAAAAAAAAAAAAAAAAAAACTTTCGGTTTTCGGAATTTCGGATAAGGGGTTGTCAACCTGTACTATAAAAAAATAAAGTACTGGGTAGTCATCTTAGCCAAGTACCAAGATCATGCTTGAAGTACATACAAGTACACCAGCTTTTTTAAGGGACAAAAATAACCATTGCTTGACGTGCATTATTCATATGTTTAAGTGCTAAAACCATAATTAAAGAGATGAATGCTACATAATTGTCTTTTATCTCTAGAAATGCATGAAATTCCCCTTCTTTACCTTACTTCAGTATATTGGTTTAATATCAAATTTGTCTTAGTAGTGTAAGATACTGTACAGTATCTAGAAGGCAAGCCCCCTGGTTTTGAAAGTCAAAGGCTGCTCTGGTTGATGGCTGCTATATATACTACTGTATATAGTGACTGGAATTGGAAACGAGCTAATGAAATGGGGAAATGATAGACTACCGAGGGTAAATAACATAATAATCATATACTGTCCAGTATACGATCACAAGTACAGTCTAGTAGGTACACAATTATCTACATAACCAAAATTTTGCAAGTGTGGTCACCATTTGAGAAGGACTGACAATGCCTATTGCCACTAGTTATGGGAAATGTGACCATAAAGAGTAAAAAAAACATGTACCATGAGAAGATACAGGTTACTTTATATTGAAAATTTCAATGTTTACTCGACTCTTGCTCTTTCTTCTTTTCTCATTTTTTTCTTTAATTTTTCTTCCACAACCTGTCAGTGACCTATATTCAAGTTAGGTTTGCCAAGTACAGTACACCATGGATAAAGATGAAAATATGTTTGATAAGAAGTGAGTACAGGGATCCGTCCATTACTTAAAGAACTGTAAATTTATTGAAAAATGTTAGAGGGAAGGAAGTTGTATACTGTAGTCAAAAAGTGTGAGTAATTAAGGAAGGTAAATAATGATGAATTTCAGTTAAAGGCAGTTGGTTCTTCCATGGAGTAGAAGTGATAGGATGGAGAATGGAATCAATACACGGAAATGACAGTAGAAAATAGAAAGTGCAGATTGATCATCTGATATACAAGTGAGGGAGTGACCAAAGATGAATCAAAGAACTTTAGATTGTACAAGTAGGACTGAAGGACCACCCCCTTCCTTTATTGAAATTAATATTCCCAGAGATTGCTAGCATAGGAGTTGTGTATATATATATATATATATATATATAAAACTAGCTTTTACAGTGTTTGGCATGTTCTACAACTAGTAAAATATAAGTTCACAATCTGCATATTGAAAAAAAAATTAATGTATTATCATGTACAGGTATATCTTTAATATGTAAGTAACAACTGGGCCAAGTTTCTGGAAAATGAGCTGACAATTATAGGTTTTAATTACACTCTATAAATTATACAATGGGTTTTAGGATTAATCTCCCAGTGAAGGTGGCATGGAAGATTAACACAGTACTGTATAGTAAAGTGCTGTACAGTGGAGTCTCGATAGTGCGTGAAGTACAAATTCACAATCTTAAATTCATGGGTACAACTATTACTAGATTTTTTTAATTTCGCTGTCAAATATTTATAATTGTGTCTGAGTGCTGGCTGCTGTAGTTATATTTTCATAAACCATAAAAATTTTGGTAATTTTATTTCATTGCTCTAGTTTCACTTCAATACTGAAATGTGACTTCGAAATAAATACAGAAAAATATAATACAGAACTATGAAATAGAGAAATGTGAAGTAGTTAGAGCATTATTTGATGGAGGAAAGGCAGTTGGTTAGTGGACTGAGGGTCGCCTCCCCCATTCCCAAGCCGAGCACGCCCCTCTGACCTCCTTAATATAACATTGTGCAATTTATCCATAATTCACGTATTATTTAGGTTCATTTGGTATCGATATTATAAAACAGTATCGTAAAGTAATAGATAAAAATATTAATAAAAAATCCCACTCTCGACCCCACATGAATTATTGTGTGGTATTGACTTCCTAGTTCTTTGTTCATAGTGTGGTTACAGCTTGGCTATTTCCATGTTGGTGTATTGGCATAAACCACACAAAATTATGAGACGGGAAGGAGCTGTTTATGTAATTTAGAACCACTTTTTGTACAATATCTGTGTGTTACTGTATTTTTCTATGTACAGTATTATGTATGATGATTAGTTTCTATTTAAGCAGTTTTGGAACAGTTTAAGGCTATTTCTTGGCCTCTTGATCCAAACTAAATGTTTTTATTTAAATCAAGTAAACTATACAGTAATTCACGATTTGATAATTCATGTCTTCTGGTACCTAACCCCTGAATTGTTGCATCTCCATTATACTCGTCAGAGGTTGTAGTGTTCATAACCATTGCAAATCCTTGAACAGTGCAGCTGTCAAGGTTATTTTCAGTTTTTACCACTTTTTTTTTTCAATTTATGGAGGCATGGTATAGGCAGTTAAGGCATGGTTTAACAGTGTTCACACTCAGATTTATGACAAAACAATATAAAGTTATTGTTGAAGTGTCATAAGTGTCAACACCGCACGCAAGAGCTCGACTAGTTTATCCATTTTTTTCTAGTGTCTCACTTTCAACCACATCTTCAGTTTTCCACCCCAAATTGGCACTTTATAGGCATGGTTCAATGGTTATTTCACACATTATGAAAAATATAAATAAATTGCCAATTAAGTTTGTATAATAACAGAGAGAGAGAGTGGTGGGACACAGCATGAGAAGAGCAGAATACACACGCTTTGGTACCTAGCTAGCCAATTAGTGGTGAGCTGCAAGATCCTGGGTCACAAATAACCATCACACTACAAGAGTATTTAAGTTATGAATATGACACATGACTTTCTTGAAAGTACAATAGCTAAAGAAAAAGAGAACATCTTGAGAAATGGCTGATTCTCAGCCATTTAAGGTAAATTTATTGGTCCTATACAACAGTTAGTTGAAATGCAAGGAATAGAATTTGAAAATAGAAGTTTTACCATTTATATCTTACTCTAGCACTAAGCAAAAATTTTAATTTTGTTTTTAAAATTATTGTGGTGTTACTTTCTCTGTAAACTTAAAAACCAATGCCTAAGTCTTCTCGTAAAGGAAATTAATTACCAGTTGTATGGAGTGGTACTTACAAAAAAAAAATTACAGGTAAGTAAGTATGGTATGTGGTCATCAGTTAACATATAGATATACAGGCAATCCCCAATTTACAAAAGGGTACCATTCCTGAAAAACCTTTCATGAATTGATTTTTCATAAACTTGATCCCATTTTTCCAGAGTCCCTGTGATACGTTCATATGAAAAAATTGTTTCCCCAAAACCTCTTAAAATGCTGTACGAGTACATGTTTTTAGTGAAAATTTTTTAGTGCACATAATGATTATAGGTCATTAATAAAAATACTAAGCAAAATGCATGCAGTACAGTAATGATTTTAAGGCACTTCTTAATTTACGCATGTTTGTTTTATGCGATTTTACGTGGGTTTATTTTTGGAATAATGCTACCAAAGACAAACATCATCATTGGGTTGGAAGCATGGTGGTGTGCACACATATTGCCAGCACCATACAAGAAGTGCGGATATGCGCGGCACGTGTATACAGCTTCCTATCTTGCAGTCCTCAGTGTGTGGATACAGTCTATAGTCACGGAGTGCTACATTATGCTGTATACAGTAGAACGTCGATTTAAAGTGATTCAACTTAAGATTATTTATTTCAAGCAACACCCACAATTAAGGAGAAATATTTTAATTTAAAGCAAATCTTTCCTATTTTGCGCGTGTCAATCTGGCATGTCCTATTTTAAATTTCGCGCCTAATGTTTCCCACCAGACGCTTCTCTGGGCACGTAACACGGCTACCCGCCACCCTCTCACACCCTCCCACATACTGTACTCGGTTCTCGCACTGACGCTGAAATGAACGGACATATTGTGTGACACTATCTCCTCCTACCACGTGCATCAACCATCGCCACTATGTCCAAGAGGCCAGCTACTATATCATTAACTACCCCAAAGGCCAAGAAATCAAGGCAAGCAATTACACTGGAGCAGAAAAACAAGGTGCTGGAAGAACTGCAGCGTAGAAATGGTGTTTCACGCATGTCAGATGCATCCACAGCCACACCACTCGACAGTGATGTGGATGATGAGCTGGTCGAGTTGGGCTCGGGCATCGTTAGAGGATGAATTGCCTAACTAAAGTTGAGTGAAAATCTATTTTTGATGGCATATAGTAATTAAAAAATAAGTTGAGAGGAAAGTGAGTGCTGAGTGAGTCAGGCGAGTAGTGAGTGGCACCAGTGCAAACACCCTCTCACGTCAGCTGATCACTAGTAAACAGACCATTTTGCGTCCCTTAATTTTAGCCGTGTTGATTTATGAGTGTTTCTATTAACATAATACTACAAAAAACAATGTTTTGTTTATTCTAGGAGATGGACTGAGGTGCATCTGGGTAGACTCAGCCTTTTTAGTATTTTGTGTTTCTCTCAAGTACCCAACTAAATTATTCCCTTGAAACAACACTTCAATTTAGTGTGAATTCGGTTTAAAGCTACCTCTCTTGGAACGTATCTCGTGTTATATCGACGTTCTACTATATTACAGTATATTGCATGTGTTTTACCCCTTGCATCATGCTAAGAAGCATAAGGCCATCACCATTTAGATTAAGATGGATGTGCTCAAACTTTATAAGCGAGGTGAATGAACAATATTAAAGTTAACAGTGTACATTTACACTGTACTTTGGGTAGCCTGAGAACACCAAACAACCACCTAATTCCTCTGATGCGTCCCCTTCCCAACTTAGTATCCATTTTGCCACGACATGATTGTCTCTCTTTACATTGAATAAAACCTTACCAAGCCCTTTAAAATGAGTGGAATATACCTAGCAAATGATATTCGTACCTCATTGTATAGAGGTCAAACAAGATAGTTTAGGTGTTTTGACCCTGGCAAATAAGCTGTTGACATCACCAGGGTACTTGGCCTACCTCCCATCTATAGTACAGTTAACAAGTCAATAACAATTGTTATTAACTGCTACAAGTTTCTGTACAGAATAAGAAGAAAGTTGTCAAGATGTTTTTGGTAAAAAATTTTATTTGTCCATCCTTAGGTGAAGAGGCAGGCAATCCTGCAGCTTTATCTCGACAATTTCACCATTGCTGGCCTTTAATATAAAGTTTCCTTAGACATCTTGGGTAATTGTT